GAAAAGGGTGGAGGGAAGGTGCAAAATCATTTAATCTGTCGTAGCTTTCTCTTCGTCTTGAAATATCTCTTTTTACTTCTTAATATACAGTTTCTCTTTCAAGCGTACAGTACTGATCTTAGCCATATATTCAGACTCAAATAATATCTAAGCACCAACACTAACTAAACTTATCATTCCCAAAAGCTGTTTCGTCCCTCAATTGACAGTATTGCAAAAACAGGCGTACCATTCAACCTCTCTACCCCTATCTGTCCCCAAAACTGAGTAATTTGTTTTGTAATCCACTGACATATTGTTATACTAGATGGACCCCTTTAGAGCTTACCTCAATTGCTTTGTCCCTCAAAGACATGGGCATGATGTCTCGAGGAAGAAGATCAGCCGGGAATGAATTGATGGCTCCTGATTTCGAGAGGTACACATCGACATGTGACAGCCTTTCTGTTGAGTAATCTATGGACGCTCTCCAGTCTTTGTCCCCAATGCTAGCGAGTCCAAGAGACCACTTGACATTCAGGGGAAGGCTACTTCTCTCCGTTGAGAAATACTTCAGAGATGTCAGAGATGTTTGATTTTCAAAGGCGTCGGCCACGATGCTGATCAGATTAGTATGACCAAAAGCTATGGCAACATCAATTGCAGAATAATCCCCCTCGTAATTGATCTTGGACATTTCCTCACCACTGAGCTGAAGAATTTTCTTCACAACTTCTTCTCTACCAAAAGCAACGGCATTCATGAAGTGCCAGACTTTGTCCTTCATTTCCAAAGACGGACAGAGCTTTTCGTAGAGATAGCAAGCTATCTCTGCCTTCCCATTCCGTATGAAGTCGTCCAAGATTTCATATCTGGTTTTCCGACTTAGCTGCAGAAAAAGTTCGGATTTGAACCCGTTCATTGAATATTGCATGGTGGACAAAGCGGCAGTCAGGAGTTCTTTGGAGGCTCCGAGGCGAACCCAGGAATGAATAGTATGAAGTGTGTGGCTGGTAAGGGCCTGGCTTCCATTGTGGGAATACACACAAAATCCTGATTCAGTGCGATGTCTTTGGAAGATGTTTCTACCGTTCCCTGTTAATGGTATTCCATCTGATTGTAAAAACACACGTGACCATCCAATGCAACAATCTAGCAGACAAAGGACGCACCAATAGGTCGTGGTCATGTGGTCGTGGTGCAGCTTCTCCGCGAAGCGTAGACCGCCGAGGAAGTAGTGGAGTGTAGTGTGGTGGCCCAGGGCAACTGCAGTTGTAGCTGGGATGAGACCATCTTTGTCCTGAGCTTGAAGAAGTTCATTGTCCATAAACTCTTTGAATATTTCTATAACCTCAGGTTTGTTTGTTTTGGCGGCAAAATGCAGCATGGACTCCCCGGTGAGAGAGTAGCGCCAGTCTTTAGGGAAGAAGGCCTTGACCAGGAGTTTGATGCACTGCACGTTGCAACTCTCAACAGCGACACACAGGGGAATTTTCCCAGATACTTCTTTCTGCAAGTACTCTTTCAGATTCTGAGTGGGTTGAGCTTCGATGAGCTTCATCAGGATATCAAGAGTTCTGTAACAATTTGATTTCGCACAGAAATGGAGCAAAGGGAAGTGGTGATACATGTACAAAAAGCACGCCACGATTGATTCTTGAGCCACTTCGATCATGCAGCTTGCCGCTAGATCATTACCCTGCTTCACCAGTGACACAATTCCAAGATCACGGCTTCTTGCACCGGCGGAGAACGTCATGACTGGGGCGCTTTCATCTTCTCCAAGCTCTTCATTTTGCTTTAAATAATATCTCAACCAACTATGGTTCATCAAGTAGCCAAATCCGTAACCCTGAACCCCTTTGAACTCCGTTACTAACCGAGTGGCCAAAGAAAGGTGTCCAAAAGCTCTGGCGAGATCGAGAGGAGTCCAGCCTTCGGGTGTTTGAATTTCTACGGAAGTGTTGCAATGGCGAACGATCTCTTGCACTAGTCCGTGTTTGCCATGCATTGAGGCGTAGTGTAGAGCAGTGAAACCGTTCTCATCTTTGGCGTTCACGTTGAAGTCTGGAAGTGACAGAAATCGAACACAGACGACACCGCTTCCTTTTGTAGCAGCCGACAGGAAGAGCATGTGGCAGATCCGCACAGTGACAAGTGTTGGGGAAACCACGTGAGCGAAGCGTAAAAGGTTTTCCACGATCGCTTCCATGCCTTTCTCGAAGGCCATGAAGATGCACTTGAGGATATCTTGAGGATGAGGTATCATGCCCGTCTCTTCCATTGTCTGTAGGATCAGACTGGCGATGACGGAATCACCGCCTTGAATAGCGCAGTCTAGTGAGAGCCGGGCCTCTTCGTCTTCCTTCCCTGTCACACCTTCCACTCTCGCGTTAAGAGGCATCTTGAACAGTAGCAACCTGTTGGCAATATGCCTGTGCCGACGGAGACACGCGAGGCAAAGAGCTTTCAACATGGCTGCTTGTACTTCTTCCGGTTTGGCATTGATCTCCGCCACACAGATCGTATTGATAAAATCGAGCTCACCTTTTTCTGCTGCTTTGTACAGGGCTTCGTACCATAATTCTGCGGGCTGTAGAGGAAGGTGGTTTCGCGTATGGTCTTTTACGATCATTTCAACCATCGGGAGCAAGTTCTTTCTGACAGCTGCGGAGAGCGTTCTGGCGGCGATCTCCAGTCTCACCACATCGGACATAGCGTTGATGATTTTCATCCTCTCTAAATATTCCGGTTGATGCTGCTCTTTGGTCAGCCGGGAAGGAGCCAATACAAACAACAAATCCAACACCGTGGCGTTATGCACTACTTTACGCTTGAACATTTCTGTCAGATGAGTAGGATCCTTGACGACGCCTAAGATGGCTGAAAGAATCATAGACTGACCAGTTGCCGCCATGACCATCAACAGACGACTGCTAACTGCACCATTATCGTGTTTGATAGCCAGCTGAATCAAACGAACAAGATACTCATCATCATACACGTCCTGGTTCAAGTTGAGAAGAGTACCTCTCAGCCAGAACTTTTTCATCATTTCTGTCTTAGGGATCAGGATCATTTTGATGCCTCTGATTGTCTCTTTGGCAATAGTGAAACGGTTGAGGAGTTTCCTCAACGTCTGGTGGTTGGTCTGAAAATTGAATCTGCGCAACAGGACAAAACAAAGGACGTCCGTAAACGGGTCAGCCTCAAAAGGACCCATTTCATTACCGAGACAGAACTCCGAAGCTTCAGGACTGTAGTTTGCCAAAGCGTACAAGAACGGCGAAAAGGAGGATTTGTCCTGTTTCTGAGGTTTGCACATTGGAGACGACATTATTCCTTTGAGTAAAAGGGTGTTCCCGTAAGAGCTGGCAGCGTGCAGCAAAACTCCTTTGTTCACTACGTTGAAGTTCACCAGCGAAAGCAGGTATCGTACCCTCTTCTTTTTCTGGATGCTTTCCCTGGCTTTCTCCAAGTCATCTTCATCATCTGGATAGTGCATCCTCGGGGACATGGTGACTGTTTCGTGCTCGTTGATCTGCTCTGGTAGCAAAGTTCTAGCAGAACGCGGTGTACGAGGAGTGACCGCCGGAGACATGAGATGGCCAACACTCTCCATATCGTCCTGGACCCAAGGCACGGTCCCTCCACTTCTAAGTCTCCTCGCACTTTTCGGTAATGTAGCCGTTTTGGCATCCTTTTGAGCTCCTAACTTGTTTGGTTCAACTTTGGAGCTGCAGGTTGAGATACGTCTTGATGAATCTTCGTACAAATCATGGAATAAAGTTGTTCCAGGGGAGATAAGCTCGGACACTCTAGACGAATTGCCTCTCTTAAGTTGTGTGACGGCGAGTAAGCCTTTCTCACAGGGATGTGACATGATGTTAACTCGCCTTGACATCTCAATAAACATTCTTTTGTTCCACAGTCCTGGTATGGCTCTGGACAGTAAAAGAAATCAAACAAACATGTACTGATCAGAAATGGGCAAAGATGAGAATATAAACTGAAAAGATATAATCTAAATGTACAAATCAGCTCAGCATAGTATGTGTCATCTTGTTTGTCGACGAAGGTGATCGGTGGGTACTCTGAAATTGACTTTGAAAATTTAAACCGTATTGAGAAAACCCAAATGCACACGTTTTATTTGTCTTTTCTACTGGAAAAACGCAAAATGCACAAACGTCTTAGAAATTAGTGGGGTTTTTGTGGATCAGTTATTTTCAAATGTGGACGACTAATTTGCCACACCCTCAAAACATCCAACAAGTACGACCAAAATTGGTAATAAAAGACCATATGACTCGGAGAATCATCCTCAGGTACTTATAGACTTGACCATCATACGGAAATAAAAGGTTGGCATCTGAACATAACCCTCCCCCGAAATACTCTTCCTAATGTCTTTGATTTCCTAAAAGGGAAATCAAGTGCGTGGACCACAAGTGTACCTACTTTGGGACTAGGATAGACATTGAGACACTATTGTTGGAGTAGTCGCACGTTTCAAAAGGAGGATGAGAGAAAGAGGATGGATAGGAGTAACAGAAAATTGGGAGAGTGAGGAGTGACGATTCCGTTCAACAAACTTAAAGTAATATTAGATGGCATATCGCTATGTAATTGTAGAGATTTTACGCCTCCATTGACACAATGTAGATCATTCCGAAAGAGGGTTTCATCGACCCTGCCTGTCAACGCCAAACCAGGCTGAGAGGGACGTTAAGTCCCGGAAGAAAGACATAGATACATGATTTCTTCCCGAGCGGGAATCTAACTCGCGCTGAGCTCACAAAGAAGCGCCTTAACCGCAGCATTACTCATGGCGGTGGCATATTTCGTAATTAACATCAACCTTCCATGGAACGGAAAGCGATTGTTGAAATCCTTGCGTGCTTAAATAGAAGAAAGCTCCTCTTGTTTGGCTATATTATTATTTTGCTATTTGGAGGGAGTGTCTAATTTAAGACAGCACCCTTCTAACAATATATCAAAAGAGCATACACGGAATCGGACAGTATGTTACATGCACACAATGAATTATACAGAAACGTGACAGAGAATGTCACTGGGAGACATTCTTAAATATCTTGACAATTACGCCCTAGTCAGCCCATTGAAAAGTGGGACCAGGTAGTCTTCTCGGACGAGTCCAGATTTAACCTGCTGCACCCAAAGAGGCGAGCTCACGTCTGGAGGCGCCGAGGAGAGCTGTTCCACTCTGAGACCATCCAGCAGGTGGCGCCCTACGGTGGAAGGTCCGTTCTGGTGTGGGGAGGCTTCTCAGCTCACCCCAGGACCCCCTGTACCATATACAGGGCAATTTGACCGCGGCAAGGTACAGGGAGGAAATCCTGCGTCCCCTTGCTGTTCCTCTCCTGCAGCAGATTGGACCCCCAGGCTGTACTGCAGGACGACAACGCCACGCCACATCGCCCGCACATCGTGGGGGACTTCCTGCAGCAGCGAGCTGTCACCCGCATGGACTGACCAGCTTGTAGTCCGGATTTGAACCCAACAGAGAACATTTGGGATCACATTGACCGGTGGATAAGGGACAACCACCCTCCTGCACAAAACCTTCAACAATTCTTGGGCTGCCTCGTCCGCAACAAGTTCTCCGAAGGCATGTCCTGTACACGCGTCGACGCTGTGCCGAGTGTTTGGTCAAACAAAGTGGCTACACCCACTTTTGACAATGTTCATGAAGAACTATGGCTGTTCAGACTTTTGAAATCCAACCAGTATGACTTAAACTCATTTTACATGAACTTCTCGTTGTTGTTGAAAATTGAAATTGTACACACTTAATCTAGAGAGTCGAAAGCATCTTTTTTGAAAAAAATGAATAAATTCGGTTAAACTGTTCTTCAGTTATCTTTCTTTGAATTTTTGTTCCTTGACTTTTTTGTGCGAGTTTATAATTTAGGTAGCAGACCATTTCGATCCTACATGAGGCGTGTAATATTTCCCACAGAAATAAGGAAGTACTCAGTAAAATGCTTCCTCTGTTTGATATCAGAACTTTGGGCGGGAAGAGGGAGGGGAGAGTTGTGTCTGTGTGTAGTGGGAGAGGAGATATCGTACACTACACTGAGCTGAGAGGGAGATATTGAACAAATAGAAAAATAGTGTACCTCTTTGGCAAGTCTCTGGCCCCGTTCACGATGAGATACTCCGCAATTTTCCAGAAGCGGAAGGCCAAGCTGTACCACAAGGGGGTGGAGTGGGAGTTGTCTCTGACGTCGAGGATATCTGGAGTGAATTTGGTTAATTTGTTTAAGGTACACCACGGCAGTAGCCAACAGCCAGAAAAAGTCGATTTTTGTATCCAAAACGGATTTTTCGATTTTGGACTATTTTATTTTAGTAGAGCAACATCTGCTTTATCGATTGAAAATATTTCCAAGGGTCTAAAACATCTATAAAGTGCTCACATATGCCATGCTTTT